TTAAAACAAGTTTTTTAAGTTTTTAGGATACTAATGATAATGGCAAAATCATAAATATGATTCAGAGCTTATAATTTATCATCTTCATTTCACCGCCTAGCTACCCTATTATACCTGAAGGCTTAGGACTCATCAATGATAAATCAGTTGTTTTCTCCTTGTGAGTCTTGTTTCTTTACTGACTAGGATTTCCTTGGTAGAGAAGCTGCAGGAATGAACCAGGAAGTTTCCTGCACACCACAGGGGTCAGCAATAAAAAAGAAAGGAGTCCAAGCTGTTCCCATCAAGGAAAAGATGTGATTAGAGAGATGTGACATGCAAAGAAATGATCTGAAAAGTGAATTCATTTGGGGAAGTGTAAGCCCCAAACAGCCCAGAGCAGCTGGTCATGATCAGCTTCTCCATCTTTCTGTCAAATGTAATCGTATCCAAGTTGGCAGGGTATTTATTGCTAAAGTCGAAGGGCCAGATTTTACACTAAACATATTTACACATTTACATTCGTGGCCCTATAAACACACCACGTTTCACTGGCTGTGACATCAAACACATTGACCAACAAAAAACATATGTCTAATTACAAAATCATAGGGGAGAAGGAAGGCAAATGGTGGCTCATGGGCAATGAGCATGCATGCCCTATGTATGTGTGACTCAGCCACACCACCAGGAAGCCAGAAGAGACAAGAGTGAAGGCAGACAATGCTGCTCCCCAGGCCAGTCCAACACTGCTTCAGTTCTAAGGCGGATGGGAGACTGGCTGGCATTCCAATTAGAGGCACATGTATCCCTCCACCAGCATCCTACACATATACAGACAGCCTAGTTATTCCTAGGGAAAATTGCTGATTTGAGCTGAGTTTGATATTGATCATTCCTTTTAACTTGCCCTCAAATGACTTTCCTCAGCCATTAATGAAAGCAGGTGTGAGCAGAATATGTAGCCAGCAGAAAATGTAAAAAACCAAAACCCAGAATCCTTGATTTTGGGCAATGGAGAGTAAGATCAGATCCCTACCCATCAATAGCAGTTGTAATAACACCATTTAGCTGCTCCGAGCTTAGTCCTTCTTCAAGCGAGGAAATCAGAGCCACCAGGGCCAGAGACAGAAAAACAAAGCAGGCACAGCTTCAACCACTGGCCTCAGACAGCCTTTAATAAATGGCACCGACTGGTATTCCATCAAAATAATCACCTTCCATCAGAATGACCACCTCCCCCAGCTTGCTTAGCACACTGCTACAGGAAGACATGGTGGGTTTCTAAAAAAGAATGTCTGTGAAGGGCAGGAGCCTTTTCCTGTGATATTATGCTTACTGCATAATATGGGTTTGGATAATAATATAACCCAAACTCCAGTTCCAGCTACAGAAAGTCCCGGGCATAAAGCTACCATGAAATAGGGAATGCAGTTGCAGAGATGAGTTAATATAAAGATGCTTTCCCATTTTTTTTTTAAAGAGGGGAAAGATCCTTGCAGTTTTTTTTTTTTCTTTTACCTCTTGTTAGCTTTTTTTCTTCAGAGGAAAGGAAATGGCTCTTAAAAGTGTGGGATGGGAATGGAGAGGAAATGTGTTGTTGAGCAGAAGCACTAGCTTTTTATTTTAAAGAAATAAAATAATTACCCAAGAGGGAAAAAAGAAATCAGCCAAGAAACAATCTAAGGTCATGACACCATGTGTGGTACAAGGAGCAATTCAATCCATAAGGGCTTCATTATCCCCGCAATAGATAACATTTGGCTAAATCTAGCTGCAGATTAAATCTCTGCAGCACAACAGAGCCCTGAATGGAGAGGCTCCTTTTTGTGTGGTCCTTCTCCGGGAGCTGCCTGAACCATTAGCCCCAATATATCCCTCTCCCTATTAACTGCGATTCCCTCCCGACTGCGCTTCACTCATTTGTCTCCACGCTCTACGGGGGCGTTTGATGAGTAGGGAAACAAGAAGAAGGGGAGAAAAGCTTCGGGTTAATGACTTGTAGCAAATCCACACTTTGTAGTTGGGAGGAGGAGAGTTGGTGGCCAATGTTTGTCCAACTGGTTTATTTTTCGAGACCCAGCCTATTGAAGAAGGCTTGTTCAAGCAGGCAACGTCCCTACAAACACACAAACATCCTTCTGTTTGCCTTCAAAACAAAACGGGGACCCGCGTTGGATTTGCATGCGAATGAGCCGCCCAGGGAAGAGACGTCCTGGCCCTTCAAAGGCCCGAGTAGCCTGACTGCCTGGCGGCCTTTGTTCCAGCACCTGCTCGCCAGTCAGCGCGGTCTCGCTGGGCGCGTCCCAGCTCCCAGCTCCCCGGGCCACAGCCCAGGGCCCACTCCTCATCCTCGCCCTCCCCGGGGCCCTCACACAGCCGCACACCGCCCAACCTGTACCTTGCGTGCATTCTCAGTCCTCCGCCTGCTGATCAGACCCGCAGAATTGGCAAAGACGAATACCAAACCCCAACCCAGTGCGTGGGGGTCCAAACCCTCAAAACGCAACCCTGGCAACCCAGGTGGCCCAAGGTTGTATTTTATTACCGCCCAGGCCAGGGTTCTATGCGCTCCACCTGTGTGAAAACAGGCTTGCCGTGCCAAGCCTGGGCGGATGAAGCAGGAGCTTAGCCCGGGCCCCACCGGGCCAGTGCCAGGTTGGCCTAGTGTGATTTTCTTAAGTACACTGGGCATCTGGGAGGAAAGCTTGTCCAGGCAATTTTTAAAGATACAGGAATCTAAACCAGAGCAGATTTAGCTGGGGACTTTCCTGCTTTCGGACGATCCACGCATCATACAAAAAAAAATTAAAAAGTACACACGGTTTTGTTCTTGGCTGTCTTCGTAATTCGTTTCAGATCTAAAGTTCAGGTCTGGGCATTGCAGAAGGCTAGCAGGCGTGCCGTTCTGATCCGCCTGTTAACAGTCTCAGCACCCCTGCGCGTGGGATTCTGACATCCTTGGGTCCAGTCCTCTCTTAGCTGGTCTAGGGTACAAGGAACTTTTGCATATAAGATTTTGGACCAACAGCATTTCCATTTGTAGCTATATATTTAGTGGTAAGTTTGAGGCGGGTGTGTTTACCCCCTCGTTTAACTTCTTTCACACATCTCATGGGAGAGAGGGGGAGGGAGAGAGAGAAAGATAAAGAGGGGGGAGGGAGAAACTTTAGAGGTTGTGAGAAGCAAATTTTCCTCTCTCAGATGGAATGGGAGGCCAGGGTAGGAATAGTGAATGTCATTGCATAATACCAACCTAGAATGTAGATTTCACTAATTTGTAAAGTTTAGAACTGTAGATCATCAGATCTGTTATCTGCCAAACATTTTAAAGAAATTGAATATATTTTCAACCTCCACTGCAAGCCACTAAAGTAGGCATTCAGATTACATATTACATACACGTGGTCTTATCTAGAGCTCCTAATTAATCTCTGGAGTCATCAAAACTAGTCTCAAGTTTGGTCGAAGAACTAGAAATTGCATGCAATACATCCTAGTCAATGAAAGGCTTAAAATTGGAGACATCCTAAATCACCCAAATTGCATAGTTAGTTCAATAAACAATTGAAGCATTTTCTTTTTTCAATTATTTAAAGCAAATACTATTTTAAAGTTGAATGTTTTTCTTATTCTTAAAACATTCATTTAAGCTAGAATTTCAATATATTTGTCTTTCAAAACAAAAACTCCTTTGTTGCAATTGCTGGGATCTCTTTCATCTCAAATGTAGAAACTCTAAATAGAACTATCTAATAAAATTTGGAGTATGTATGCAAATGTTTATTTGGGACCTTAAAGCTTTTAAACTGATAATTGGTTGTGTCTTATTATTTTTTCCATAAAAATTTTAACTGGAAACAGCTTCTTTGCTCATGTTGTTTCTATTACAATGTAGTATAAATACTGTTGCCATTTTATATATATTACAATATTGTGTTCAGAGCAGAAATTAAACAAGAAGTCCAAAATTTAAATTTAAATTCCTACAAAAATTGTGGTTCCATTTTCAAATGTCTCAATAGTCTGTGAAATGGAATAGAATTAGAATTGCACAAAATAATTTATTTTATTTGTGGCCATTTAAAAATAAAGTTCAGATCGCCCTCAATGGTTTGGACTTGGCATGTTGGATGTGTTAAATTCTCTTGGAAAGTAATAATTAAGCCTATTTTGTATTGAGTTCACACTTATACCACATAGAGACTTGCCTTAAAAAAAAAGAAAATAAACTAATTAGAGGACAACGGAAGCCAACTGTTTTGGTGGCTTTTCTTTGAAAATTAAGCGTTTTATTTCTGAAAAAGGTGTAAAAATCTTACATTAGAATAGTACAATAATAATTGCCAGTAAAATTTACAATACTCCTTGTAGAGAATACGCGGTAAGTACAAAATAAAAATTAGCATGTCTATTATTATACAAAACACAGGTTAAAATAAGAAATAATCATTTTGTCTTTTGTTTCTTGTGGTGTAAACACATTAAGTATTTTCTCCTTTTCGTGAACAAGCACACCAGACAAGTGTCTTCAGATAAAAAGCATTGTTCGAGACCTTTACTGATGTTTGTATGTATTATTCTTCACTTGAACGGTGTTGATATAAAATTTTAAAACAACAACAAAAAACGCCTGGACCTGAGAATCTCTACACCTCAAAAAGGCTTAGATTTTTGTTTTCCTTTTTTTTTTCTTTCAGCTTGCCAAAAGTAAAGGTATCCCCTAGTGCCTGGACGGGGCGAATCCCTCTCCCCCCCCCCCCAGCACCCTCTTCCCCCAACTCTGGGTTGGGGGCTGCAGCACAGGTCGATTTTGCATAAATAGAGGGACCCGCGGAGCCGAAAGTAGTGCGGAACTGGTCGCCCAACACAGTCTCGTCCGAGGATCCGCAGCGCCGAGAAAGAGGACGCGAGGTCGGGGTCGGGGGGGGGGGGGGGGGAGTCGGGGAGGGAACCAACCAAACCCCCAAACTCCCAAGATGGCAAAAACTTAAACATTAAAAGAAGGAGCCAGGTTCCTACCTTCTCTCCTCTCTCTCTCTCTCTCTCCCGCGCGCTACCCCAGCGGTATTAACAATTAGAAATCCTAGCAGTAAAGTTCTCCACACTGGACAGGGCGGTCCCTTGGTGCAGGGTCCCCAGGGCGGCCGACGACGATACGGAGGAGGCGGCAGCCGCCGCGGCGGCCACGAGGGATCGAGTGAGCGCGGCGGCCGGGCCCACGGCCGCCTGCGCCGCGCAGCCGCCCGCGCCGCCGCCGCCGCCGCCAGCTCGGGGTCCGGGCACGGGCGCGGGCGCCGAGGGCGCGGCCCCCGGGGAGGGCGCGGGCGAGGCCCGGGCGGCGGCCTGCGCGGCGGCGGCGGCGGCGGCCGGGCCCAGGCTGCCTCCGATGATGCTGTCGATGGAGAAGGGCGAGCGCGCCAGCGCAGGGACGCCGGGCCCCGCCGCCTTGGCCGCCGAGGCCTGCAGGGGGCCGGGCAGGGCAGCGCCTAGCGGGTGCGGCCGGTAGGCAAAGGCGGTCCGGGCCAGCTCGGCGGCGGCGGCGCCGGGCGGCGGCGGGGGCGGCGCGGGCGAGTGCGGGTGGAAGGCGGCGGCCGCGGCGGCGGCGGCCGCGGCGAAGAGCGCGGAGGGCGGCGCGTAAGGCGGCAGCTGCAGGCCGTAGCCGCAGCCGTAGGGGCCGTAGCCGTAGGGGTGAGGCGGCGGCGGCGGCGCGGGCGGGAAGAGCGAGGCGGCGGCGGCGGCGGCGGCGGCGGCGGCCGGGTCCCCCGCGGAGCCCGCGCCGCGGAGCAGCAGCGACTCGGCGGCCGCGGCGGCGTTGGGCGGGAGCAGCGGCTGCCGCTTGAAGCGCTTCCTCCGGCGCAGGAAGCTGCCGTTGTCGAACATGTCGGCGGACTCGGGGTCGAGCGTCCAGTAGTTGCCCTTGCCCGGGTTGCCCGGCTCGCGGGGGATCTTGACGAAGCAGTCGTTGAGCGACAGGTTGTGGCGGATGCTGTTCTGCCAGGCGGGGAACTTCTCCCGGTAGTAGGGGAAGCGGCCGCTGATGAACTCGCAGATCTCGCTCAGCGTCAGCCGCTTCTTGGGGCTCTGCAGGATGGCCATGGTGATGAGCGCGATGTACGAGTACGGCGGCTTCACCAGCGGGTTCTTGGCGCCGCCGCCCGCGCCCGCGCCGCCGCCGCTGCCCCCGCCGCTCCCGGCCGCGCCTGCGCCCGTGCCCGCGCCCGCGCCCGCGCCGCCGCCGCCGCCGCCCCCGCCAGTCCCGCTTCCCGCGGCCGGGGCTGGGCCCGGGCCCGGAGGCGCCGGGGAGCCTCCCGCCCGCGGAGCCAGCAGGATGTCATCGTCTTCGTCCTCCTCCTCCAGATCCTCCAGCTCGTCCTCCCCGGCGTACGAACGCCGCCGCCGCCGCCGCTGTGCGGGGACGGCCCGCCGGGACCCGCCACCGCCGCTCTCGTCGTCGTCCTCCTCTTCCTCGTCGTCGTCGTCCTCGCCCTCCCCCACCACGTCGATGTCGGTCTCCTCCGCGAGGCCGGAGGCATCGGACATCTCCGTGCTCAGGGTCATCGCTGTGGCACCGAGGCGGCGGCGGGGAGGCGCATAGGGGCGCCGGACTCCGGGATCCCGCGGCCCCCCAGCCTGAGTCCCAGGCGGCGGGCCCGGCTCGGGGTCACCGCCACGCTGGGGACGCGCGGCTGCTGGAGCTGCCGCCGGGGCCGCCGCGGAGTCGGGACGCTGCTACTTTGCAACTCCGGTAGCCGCGCGCCTCTCTGCGCTCGCGGGGCGCCGCGTGCACCCCGGCCGGCCCGAGGACTTGACCTTCGGCTGTCCCGGCGCCTCTCGCCCGGACCGTGCAGGAGGGGGCGGCTGCGCCCGGGTGGGCGAGTCTGAGTCGGGCGCTCGGGGAGGGAGGGGGGGGTGGGAAAGCCGCGGGACGCGGGAGAGTCTAGGAACCGAGCTCGGCCAGGCCGGGGCTGAGTCCAGAAGAGGGCGGACCTCTCCTCGGCTTATAGCAGAAGGGGGCCTGTCACATGGTGTGCGCGTCAGAGCCCGGCCGAGGGAAGGGAAAAGCCTGCCTCGGAAATCTGCTCTGCTCGGGAGAGAGAAAGTTCACCCGCAGGAGGGGGCAGCAACCGCGCCGAGAGTGGACCCCACGATTCCTTGACAAAGGAGCTGACCACCTGAATTTCGCGCTGGCCCGCGGGCGTCGGGACCCCACCGCTGCCCAAGTTAGTTCTCAGTTTGCTTCTCCTCCCTTAGCTCTCAGCCGGACCCACCGAAGCCCTCTTGGGATGCTCGGGTCGGGGTGTGGGGTGAGGGGAAGGGGTAACCTCTGGGTCCGGCGTGGTGCTCCCTGGAGCGCTAGGGGAGGGCGGGGGGGGGTGTCTTGGGAAGTCCCAGCTCCCCTGGATTGGGCTAGCGGCTTCCCATCAAATCTGATGAGATCCACCCTTAGATTAAGCACGATAATAATTGTTTATTGACCCTTTAACCCGTTCCCTTCGGTTCTTCTCCAAAGACGTTTGTTTTCCGCCATCTGTTAATAAAAATGCGGGTTAGGCGGGCGTTTTAGTCATTTATCTGCAATTGAATGCCCTAGAGACTTGACAGCTAAACTAAGCCACTCTAATGAGAGGGGCTCACAAATTCCATGGGAATAAAAGAAGTAATATTTGAATACGAAAAAGAAATAGAAAAAAATAGGGGAAAACATATACACACAAAGATTGCACATAGGAGCGACTTTTAAAAGTGTCTTCACGTTGGAGAAAGGAAGAAGGGTCTCTAGTTCTCAGGAAAGAGCATATTCTAACTCACATTTCAGAGTTATCTCAAAATACTTAAATTCTGTAACATATACACATTTCTATTCACGTAGGCTTCATAGAAACTACAGTGATAAATACGGTCTTTAAGATCAACTTAAGAGTATCTTTTGGGAGAAACGCATTAAAATTTTCCAATACCCTTTGGTGAAAAGAAATGAAAGAATCTGTATAAGAGTCAAATTCCATTCTTTCATTTCCAGGTGAGGAGATCGTGGGAGTAATTAAATACGATGCCATTCTAAGGATATCTATATCGCTAATTAAATTATTTTTACTAGTGGAAGATCCTAATAGTTTGTGGATTTGTTTATTTTTCCTGAAAGCTTCTGTTTTGAGGATGGGGGAAAGCTAGGAATATTGGTAGCTCAGGGACTACCTTAGCCTGTATGAGGCCCTGGGTTCTATCTCTAGCACCCCCCTCCCCCCAAAAAGTAAAAATCTCAAACAGGATACATTGCTTTAACCGCTTTCAGGTTAAAATGACCATTTGACAAGAACCAAGAGTCAAAATTCAATGGCTTTCTGTGGCAGCAATCATCAATTGCCCTTTTGTATGTAATGTTATCAGCCAAGTACTCCCCACATTTTAAAAGTATTTGTTACAACGGTTATCAATCAAGAGCCTGAAAAATAAACTATTCCTCCTTCCAAGACTTCTCCTAAAATCGAGTTTTTGTTCCCAAGTATGGCTAGCATGAGTTACATGTTTTATAAATGACCCATAAAGTTAGATCTTTGAAAGATCTAGGGGAAAGCTTCAAAGTACTAAATAAATTATTTTCCATTGACCCTTGTTTGATATATGGCCGAACCATTTAATTATTGTAATGGGCTCCGCATTAGTCCGAGCCGACATTAATCAGCACTATTAATCAAGCATCGCGTTGCTTTGTTGATGTAGACAGAAGTCCTTAACAGGGAGTTCATTTTTACATCGAAAAGTTTGAATTCTATAAGTATTCAGTCGGTACCTAAATAAACACCCTGATTTCCGCAGTCCTGAGGGCTGGTGTGTGGCAGAATACGTAAAAGATAAAATGGAGGAAGAATTTGTTTCAGGCCATTCATTACTTTCCGTCGCAGCCCTCGTGCCGGTCGCGATTTGCATTGCCTCGGGTTTGTCTGTTCTAGAACCGCGTGGGGAAAATAGGCTTTGCATTTGCGCTGTAGCTCTGTCCGTGGGTCCCTCCGCAGAGGGTTAGGAAAACCTCTGACAAATGAGGCCAAGTCCCCTCCCGGCAAAGGTGGGACTTGCTCGGTGCAGAGCGGAGGATCAACCACTTCAGGCACAGGACCTCTTCAGGCACAGGAGATGTGAACTCCAGCCCCACTTTGGGGCGCCGCTCCCGTTTGGTTTGCCTTCACTTCTTAACTACCCATCTGTCCGCGATCTGTCTGTACCTGCCGTGAACTTCCCCAGGCGTGGAAACCCAAGCGCGTCACACCTCGCCACATTCCCCTCCTGTCCACCGCGTCTCCCCTCCCCTGGGCCTTCACCTGGCGCCCGCAGACTGTGCCCAGGAAATCTCCACCCTGCCCCACCCCCCTTATCTGATACCAGGAGCAGAAACCCTTTCCCTGAGGTGGGGCGGGGAGAGCCACGAGGCGAGCCCCTCGCAGGGCGCCCTGTCTGCAAGGACACGGTGAGTAGCGGGTCCAGTCCTTGAGAAGCCCGCGCGCGCGGGGAAGCGCTGCCCCCTGGCGGTGGCGCGGTGGCCTTCGCGCTGGCGGGGTCCCCGGGGGTCAGTGTCCAGCCAGGAACTCCCACCGAGGCCCAGGTTGGGTGAGGGTGGCCAGCTGATTCCCGGGCACAGCTAGCACTGGGCTTAGGGTGGCTGGAACCACAGATGCGCACCGAGGCTTTTCCGTGGCTGCAGGTTTTGACCTCTTGTCCCATTAGGGTTTAGACGTTCAGGAGCCCACCAGAGCCCAGAGTCACTGGGGTTACATGCAGCAGGAGGCGACTCAGCCGCAACCCTTATCCGTACCTCCACCAAGAGCATCACCCATGCCAGTCTCCGTTGGTGGTCCAATGCTGGTGGAGAGATGTGGGGGCTTACACTCAGAGGAAGGAGCCTGGACAGCTACGGACACATCCCTAGAGTTACTCAGATGAACGTTTCCAGCTCCAGGGGACAGCTGAGGCACTGTGCCCCCGTCCCCACTCCGTGGAGAGTCGTTCTGTAGTTCTGTTTTAAGATACTGCACTGTGCTGGACTCAGAGGTGTAGATAGCCAAGTAGCTAGGAAGTCTTACTCCCAAGGATAAATAGTTCCCACTCACCCCGTGGAAAATGAGGAGCTCTGCCCTGCCCTTATCCTGTGGCTGCAGCCACTTTCAGGCTGTGCTCCAGGAGATTAACACTGGCTTTGGTTTTTGTTCTTGTTTTGTTGTTAAGCAGTAAATAATGATTAGCTTACAAATTTAGCCACTGTAAAGTGTACAGCGAGAGTCATTAAGCATAGTGATACTGTTGGGGAAAACAAGGCTTCTCTCCATTTCTAGAATTGCGCCAAACTCAAATTGTGTACTCATTCCAAATGCCTCCCATACTTACACTTTCCCTTGCCCAGACACCCTGCTGCACCCCCAAATCACTACCCTGTAGTGTGTTTGTATGAATTTGGCTACTTAAGGTCGATTATGTACATAAACAACACAGCATTGGTCCTTTGGTTTGTTTCACTTAATATCTCGGAAGTTCATCCATTTCTTAGCATGTACCAGAATTTCTTTCCTTTTGAAAGCAGAGTACCATTCCATTGTATGGGCATACTACTTTATCATCCATCTTTTTATGGGTATTTTAATTATTTCCTCTTTTTCCATGTTTTGACTCTGTAACACTCTGCATATAGTGTACATTAACTTTTTATTATTATTATTATTAGTCAACCCTGGGGCTTGAACCCGGATCCTGGGCACTGTCCCTGAGATTTTTTTGCTCAAGGATAACACTCTACCATTTTGAGCCACAGCGCCACTTCTGGTTTTCTGGTGTATCATCGTGGCTAGGGTGGTAATTACATGGGTGAGCACATGTCAAAACTTTTCAGATCACATTAACTTAGTCTCCGTTTCATCTTTTGAGGCCGGTAAAAGCCTGCAATTATCGCTCTCTACCACTAGGGGCGATAGCGTCCACAAGCAAGGGCTGCCAAGGATAGATGAAAAAGAAAAAATAAAAACCCTTCCCATCCCTTGACTAAGCTGGGAAAGACAGGGTGATCTAAAAGAATATCCAAAACTTTTCGAAGTTCTGACAATCTTAACTATCTGACAATCTTAACTATCTGACAACTATATGGTTACACTAGCTCATACTGTACTTGTGTCACAACTTAACAAATCAAATACATGTTTAAGTGGACGGTGATTGAACGTTAGTTATTATTCCTCAACTAAATTACTGTGCTTTTGAAAATCCCCCATATTCCTCTCAGATGTTGAGATTTCTCACAGTGAATCTGCTTAAAACTAGAAAAGGTAAGCTGAGCTCTGGTGGCTCAGCTGTAATCCTGGCTATTCAGGAGGCTAAGAACTGAGGATCACAGTTCAAAGCCAGCTTGAGCAGGAAAGCCCATGAGAATTTCATCTCCAATAAACTACCAGAAAACCAGAAGTGGTGCTGTGGCTCAAGTGGTAGAGTGCTTGCCTTTAGCTGAAGAGCTGAGGGACAGTGCTCAGGCCCAGAGTTCAAGCCCTGTGACCGACAATAAATAAATAAATAAGGCAAAGTAAAAATTGAAAATAAAGAGCAATCA